TAATGCACAAATAGCTATATACATATAGATATTTCTTTGTGGACATTTCTGAGGTGTTACTACTGTTAAATACCAGGTTCTGTTATTAACTACCCCCTTGTAGGTCAATAAATTTGTCTTTGGACTCCATATGTAATTTCAGTCCACAGCACCTTCTGAGACGTTAAAGTGTATGGCACATCTAAAAAGAGGCGTACCTTTATAATGAATGCTCCACTAAATTTGGTATTCCGACATTTACAAAACAGTTGTGTTCCCACTTACAAGATTTGACGAAATGAAGAATTTAAATATTCATTTGTATTAATAACCATTACTCACTGAGCATCAGGCACTGCATTCAAATGTTTTGCATAGAGCAACCTTATTTTGAGCCCCATCTCATACAAACACTATTCAGAGGTGACGCTAAACCACCTGTGGCTCCATGTCACAGTTTTGGTGTATCAACCTAAGCAGGTATCATTCCAGATGCGGATGAACCATGGTTGTTCAAATATAGGTTCTGTATTGCGTATATCAGTACCACAGCCACCACCACCCCTTACCTGGAGTACTGCAACAATCTCCTAAAGGAGGTCCCTGTGTTCACTCTTGTCCCCCCCCTAGTCTATTCTCAGCCAATAAAACAGCCAGAGTGTGATCGTTTTTAAAACGCAGCTAGGGCCAGATATGGTGCCTCATACCTGTAATCCCAACACTTTGGGAGATCGAGAGAGGATGTTTGAACCCATGAGTTCAAGACCAGCCTGGGCAACATAAAAAGAACCTGTCTCCTATATTTTAAAATTAGCCAGGCATGGTGGTGTGCACCTGCAGTCCTAGCTATTCGGGAGGCTGAAGTGGGAAGATCGCTTGAGACAAAGAGTCGAGGCTACGGTCAACGATGATCGCGCCACTGCACTCCCTCCTGGGCAACAGCGAGACCCTGGCTCTTAAAATAAATAAATAAAAGTAGAAGGTCCATAAAAGTAGAAGAGGAAATTGGAAGAGAGGGCCAGAGTGATTCAAAGTGAAGACTTGCTGGTTAGCTGCGACTGGCTTTGAAGATGGAGGAAAGGAGCTATGAGCCAAGGAATGCAGGTAGCTCCTGAAAGCTAGACGAGGAACAGATTCTCCTTGGAAGGCTTTAGAAAAACAGGACTGGCAACACCTCATTTTAGCCCAGAGACCTACTTCATATTTGACTCCAAAACTGTAAGATAATAAACTGGTGGTTTATTTAAGCCACTAAATTTGCATACTTTGTCATACTCACATTAACAAACTGTCTCCCTTTCCACTTTCGAACGGGCTATAACTCTCCTCAGTTCTCAATATCTCCAACTCTGGGGTAGCTGGTTTTTTGACAAATAGCTAGCATCCAACTCTAGACTGCCTGATACAAAATGATCTAATTTTTCCCACATAATTAACGTTGCTCTCAGGCTTGTCCTTAAAGGACAAACAATAAAAGGGTAAGGTTCTCCACTGGGATGGACGCATGCACATGGAGCAGACTGCGCAGGCTCCGTTCACACGCCTATCTGGCAGACTGCACAGGTTCCAGCAGGCTTCTTTTAGGGATGATGAAAAAATGAAGACCCTCTGGTTTTCTTTTTTCTTGCTGATGCTGGCCTAATAAGCCTTCCCTTTCTCCAATAAAGCCTATTCCTCAACTGGTGCTATGTGTAAAATTGTGGAATTCAACCTGAGTGCTAAAGAAAACAGGTGGAAAACCAGTAGGGATCTACCTTGAAGGACAACATAAGCTTCACAGGGCAGGAATATGTGTTCACAGATATATACAAAGTACTCTGAAGAGTGGTACTGTGTGGTACACACAGGTGTAGATATTCAGCAGGCACTCCACCAATATGTGTTGAATAAATGAATAAGAACTATTTCACACCATATAAAATGAACTACAGATGCCTTAAAGGATTAAACATAAAAGGCAAAACTATGAAACAGAAGAAAATGGTGGGGACATTTTTGTGGTCTCAGGATAGAAAAGGATTTCTTAAATAAAATTCCAAGAACATAGCCGTAACGAGAAAAATCTGATTACATAAAAATCAAGATTTATGTTCCATAGACAGGCTACAGAATGGGAAGGTATTTCCAATACCCAAAAGTGACAATGGGATAGACAATGGCCTGGAATTTGATAACCAAAAAAAGGGACACATTAGAAAAGTAGCCAAAGCCTAGGAAAAGGATTTTCACATAAAGGGAAACCAAAATAACTCATGATACAAAAAAATGCCCAAATTCAAATCATTCAAAAGTTCAATTTAAAACAAGAAATTACCACTTTATACTGCGTGTGTGTGTGTTGGGGCACAGGGGAGGCGGCAAATGTCAGAAAGTTAAATAACGAGAGCAGTTAGCAGGAACATAAGATTCCCCTGTCTCTGCAGCTGTGGTACACACAGGTGTAGATATTCTGCAGAAAAGTATATCAAGCATACTTACACCTGCAACCCAGCAAGTTCATCCCTAACTAAGCATTCCAGAAAAATTCTCCAATTGGTTAACAGGATTGACTGAAAATGTTCAGGGCAGCTTTGCTGGTGACAGCTGGTGCCAATCCAAGTGTCTATGTTAAGAAAGTATTAATCAAAGAAAACACGGAGAAAGCATACACTATGGAATTTTAGTACTGATTAAAAGGAAATAACGTCCACACAAAATAAATAAATTATAAAAAACTGTTGTTTACAGAAAACAGTGAGAATCAGGTTTGCAGCAGAATAGCACTTTAAAAAATCACTTATTTTCAGGGCTTATAAAGAGGTCCACTCCCATCTCCACAACCCATTTTTTAATGATTAGAAAACATAATTTTCTGGAAACTTTGGCAAAATAGAAAAAAAAAGCATATGATGTAGCCAGAGGCTGAGAAGCGGCCCTAATGACTTGTCAACAAGTCATTTATATTAGGCTCCCCTAATATAAACACTAAAATAGGAAGTTGCTACAAAGAAATGTATCCTATGATCTTTCAAAAAATTTATAGACCAA